TTGTTGGGGGCAATATGCTGACTCTCTGTAAACCGCTTAGAGAGGGCTGAAAGCCCTATGAAGCGGTATATAAGTCTACTGCTATTGCTATTCAGCCATTGTTTGAAGTTAGGTCTTTTGCAACCTTTACAAACAACAACCGACCTTCCTTCAAACAGTCCCTAACCCCCTGTCGAAGCTAACCCTCCAATTTTTATTTTTAAATCTTCCCCCCACCCCAAATTTTGAAATAAGATACTCTTATCAACACGGGACTTTTGTTTAAATGCTCTTTTAATAACAATCTGATCAATACATTCAGACCCTAAGCAAGGTCTTTTAAGACTTGAGCAGGAGGGGGTCGTTGCCTCCTCCCCTTACCACCTCTTGTAAATATTTGGACCAAATTAAAAAGAGAGAGAGAGAGAGAAAGGAACAGAGGACCAGCAGAGAAATCTTTAGAAAGCTTTTGTGAGGTACGGAGACCCTAACAAAAATCGGGGGAAACGCAGCTTTTGATGGGTGGAAAATGAGGCACAGTGTTATTACAGATAAGGAAGCAACACACCCCCACACACACACCAGAAAAAAAATCCTCTTTGATTCCTTCCTCTCCCCTTTTCTTGCCCACCCCTAAAACAGACCCTTCACTTTAGAGAAGGAACGTCAGAAGAAGAAAGGAGAAATTTGCAGAGCACTCAAAGGAAAAAGGCAACTGGTGATTAGCAATGTTTAGTTGCTAAGGAAATTCGGCACACAAGGATATACAAAGCCAGGACTTGGTGTGTGTTTGTGTCTGTGGGTCTCTCTGTGTGTAAGACCGGGGGGGGTGGGGGTGTAAACAGCCTTGCACAAACACAGACACACACACACAGACACACACACACACAAACCCTTTCCCTGTTCTCTCTCAGGGAGAAAGTCTGCACGCTAGGCTGGCTGTCTTCATTTTAAAGTTGCAAACTTGAATTTTCCTCCTGGGATGGTTGAGATCGGTGTGCAAGGCAGAGGGGAGCTTGGAGGCTGGATGAAATCTCGCCTTTTCTTTTTCCTTCCGAGTAGATCGCCTCCAGATCGCCTCTACTCTGTCAAGATTTGGGGAGTGTCTCGTTCAAAGAATGGAGGGAATGGGAAGAGGTACAAGTCCCCTTTTCTCTCTTTAATAGAGAGAGAGAGAAAAAAGCTGTTTTTCTGCATCTTTTTGCCACTTCTGAGACCGTAGCAAAGAAATGCAGGAAGGACTAACGGATTTGCCACTTGTAAAGTTGGCCAAGCAGAACCTGCCGGGCGCGTAGAAAGGTAGCTGATCTTATCTCTTGGCAGGTTAATTCTCTTCTTGCTAAAGGAAAGACTTTTCTTGGCCCGTTTCAAGAATTTTAATTTCAAGAATTTTCAAAAGCTCATTCTGAATTATTCCAAGGTGAAAAAAGTGCTCCAGGGATTTTGGCCTACAGCATCCATCGCTCTCCAGCCAGCCTTTCCCCTCCCTGCAGACCTTGGCCTTGGGTTCAAGAGCCCTTGAGGTTTGGGGAAGCCCTGAATGAGGATGATGGGATCTGTAGTCCACCCAGAAGAAAAGGAAGGATAAGGTTAAGGAGAAGATAGATGAAAAGATGAGGAGGAAGAGGAGGAGGAGAAGGAGGAGGAAAGTAGATAGATAAAAGGAGAGGAGGAGGAGATAGATGAGAAAGGAGGAGGAGATAGATGAGGAAGAGAAAAGAAGAGAAGGATAAGGTTAAGGAGAAGATATATGAAAAGATAGAGGAGAAGGAGAAAAGTAGATAGATAAAAGGAGAGGAGGAGATAGATGAGAAAGAAAGAGAAAGAGGAGAAGAAGATAGATGGGGAAGAGGAGGAGAAAAAGAAGGATAAGATTAAGGAGAAGATAGATGAAAAGATAGAGGAGGAGAAGAAGAGATGGAAAAGTGATAGATAAAAGAGGAGGAGGACATAGATTAGAAAGAAGGAGAAAGAGGAGAAGAAGACAGATGGGGAGGAAGGGGAGGATGAGGAAAAGAAGAAGAGAAGGATAAGGTTAAAGAGAAGGTAGATGAAAAGATAGACAAGGAGCGCTTAGAGGTTGGCCTCAACCCATTCTTGGAATTTGCAGGAGAACTTCTCCACTTGTGGAGGGAAGACGAAGGAGAACGTGTTCCTCCCCTCCACCACCCCACATTGGAGGGCGAGAAAAAATTCCTTTAAAAAAAAAAAAAGCCAAGCAAAGGATGAAAACATCTCATCTCACGAAAGCCAAATTTACTTTTGCGAGAGGAGGTTTAAGGAAGCCGGGCGCATTGTCCTTCAAATTTCCTCCGCGGGCTTCTGTCCACGAAAACAGGATGAAGCCACTTCCTCCCCCAGCGGTCGGTCGTTGGAGATGAAAAGGGAGTGCGGAGCGGCGGGGAGGGGAGGGACGCATCTACACAGATCTGAGTCTTGGCGGGGTGGGGTGGGGGAATGAAGCTCCTCCAAGGTGTGTGCGTTGGGGGGTTTACTTGAGGACATCCAGATGAGTGCAGACTTGCTTGAAGACGTCATCGACCGTGCCTTCCGCGTTGACCTGAAAGCAGGGGAGAAAGCCACAGAGCTCAGGAGAAGAATCCTGAAGTTGTCTTCTTCTGAGATCACATCCATACGTCCCTGTCCATCCTCCTTCTCCCCCCACCAGGGAGACCAGGGATTGGCCTTCTGGAAGGATTCCTAGCCAGGTTGAGTGTTGGAGAGGTCCACCAGCTTAGGGGGCTTTGAAAGAGAGAATGGGAGGACCACAAGGCCTAGTTTGGAGGATCCTATCTTCTCCCTGACCCTCCTGCTGCCCAGGTTCATACAGCTCCCTAAGCCGTCAGGTGGATTCCAAGAGGAATGAAAGCTTGATGCCTTCAAACCATGCTTTGGGCTTTCGCTGTTGAGCACACTCAACGCTTCTTCATTCCATAAATGAAGTTAAAACATCTCATGGGTTTAGGATGGTGGGTAAAGCCCAAATACACCCCATCTAGGCTAGACCCCACCCCCAATTCTGCTTCGCAGAGGAGGACCCATCTTCAAACCTTGGTCCTACCACAAGGTCAATCCTTCAATTCTTGGGAATCGCTTCCTCCCCGCCTAAGTTCCATTTCCCTTCTGCATCTCTTCGGAATCCTCCCAATGTTGGCGTGGACCTCTTCCCTCCGCCAGCAGCCAGTTAGTCAGCGCCTTGCTATGCCGAGCAGGATAAGGCCCGGAGGGAAGTCCCGGAGAATAATGAATGATTCTGGCCCATCCTCACCACCCAGGAGAACGGAGCGCCCTTCCTTGGCCTGCGATAGCTAGGCCAGTTCAAAATACTCTCAGTAACATTCCCTGCAGAGAGTGTGGCATGATGCTTAAGTGTAAAGGGGAAGGAAGGAAAGAAAGGGAGGGGTGGGAAGAAAAGAAGGAGGGAGGGAGGAAGGAGAGGGAAGGAAGCAAGGAAGGAAAGGAAGGTGGGGAGAGCAGGAAAGTGGGAGGGAGGGGAAGAAACAAGAAAGGGAGGTGAGAGGGAATGAGGAAGCAAGGGAGGGAAGGAAGCAAGAAAGGGAGATGAGGGAGGGAAGGAAGGGAGGGAATGAGGAAGGAAGGAAGGAAAGGGAGGGAAGGAAGCAAGGAAGAGAGGGGAAGGAAGGAAGGGTGGAAATGAGGAAGGAAGGAAGGGAAGGAAGTAAAGAGGGAGGGGAGGAAGGAAGGAAGGCAGGTGAGGGGGAGAGGGGATGAGGAAGGAAGGAAAGAGGGAGGGGAGGAAGGAAGAAATGGAGGTGAGGGAGGGAATGAGGAAGCAAGGAATGAGGGAGGGAAGGAAGCAAGGAAGGGAGGAGAGGGGAGAGGGGATGAGGAAGGAAGGAAGGAAACGGAGGGAAGGAAGCAAGGAAGGGAGGGGAGGGAAGGAAGGGGGAAATGAGGAAGGAAGGAAGGGAAGAAAGGAAAGAGGGAGGGGAGTGGAGGAAGCAAGAAATGGAGGTGAGGAAGGGAATAAGGAAGGAAGGAAAGAGGGAGGGAAGGAAGCAAGGAAGGGAGGAGAGGTGGAGAGGGGATGAGGAAGGAAGGAAAGGGGGGATGAGGAAGGAAGGAAGAAATGGAGGTGAAGGAGGGAATGAGGAAGGAAGGAAGGAAGGGGCAAATGGCTCAGCCAATAATTTTTATGTGGCTGAAATACCTCCCTCGGGATCCCAAATACATTCTCCTGAAAACAGCAATGCCAATTTCAGGCAAAAGCTACCTTCGTGTGAGAGATTTCTCAACCATCCACCTGACTCACCTTGCGGACAATTCCCTTCTTCTCGTAATAGGCGATGACGGGCTCGGTGGCATTGTAGTAGGTGTCCAACCGCTTCTTGATGGTCTCCTCGTTGTCGTCCACGCGCCCGCTGGTCTCTCCTCGCTTCATCAGCCGTTTCACCATGGTGTCCTTCCCAGCGTCCACGTACAGCAGGAGGGTGGGGGCAGCGATCTGCTCAAGAGGAGGAGAGGAAGAGGAGGAAGGGAAGGAGAAGGTTAAGTAGAAGATAGATGAAAAGATAGAGGAGGAGGAGAAGAGATGAAAAATAGATAGATAAAAAGAGAGGAGGAGGAGATAGACAAGAAAGAAGGAGAAAGAGGAGAAGAAGGTAGAAGATAGATGAAGAGGAAGAGAAGGAGAAAAAGAAGAAGAGAAGGATTAGGTTAAGGAGAAGATAGATAAAAAAATAGAGAAGAAGGAGAAAAGTAGACAGATAAAAGGAGAGGAGGAGGAGACAGATGAGAAAGGAGAAAGAGGAGGAGGAGATAGATGAGGAAGAGGAGGAGAAAAGGATAAGGTTAAGGAGAAGATAGATGAAAAGAGGAGGAGGAGGAGGAGGAGGAGGAAAGTAGATAGATAAAAGGAGAGGAGGAGGAGATGAGAAAGAAGGAGAAAGAGGAGGAAGGTAGAAGATAGATGAGGAAGAGGAGAAAAAGAAGAAGGATAAGGTTAAGAAGATAGATGAAAGAGGAGAAGGAGAAAAGTAAACAGATAACAGGAGAGGAGGAGGAGATAGATGAGAAAAGAGAGAGAGGAGGAGGAGATAGATGAGGAAGAGAAAAGAAGAGAAGGATAAGGTTAAGGAAAAGATAGATGAAAAGATAGAGGAGGAGGAGAAAAGTAGATAGATAAAAGAGAGGAGGAGGAGATAAGAAAAAAAAGAGAAGATAGATGAGGAAGAGGAGGAGAAAAAGAAGAAGGATAAGGTTAAGGAGTAGATAGATGAAAAGAAGATAGATGAGGAGGAGAGGAGAAGAAGAGATGAAAAGTTGATAGATAAAAGAGGAGGACGACGACATAGATTATAAAGAAGGAGAAAGAGGAGAAGAAGACAGATGGGAAGGAAGGGGAGGATGAGAAAAAGAAGAAGAGAAGGATAAGGTTAAAGAGAAGGTAGATGAAAAGACAGATGAGAAGATGAAAATAGATAAAAGGGGAGGAGAAGGAGAGAGATGGAAAAGGAGAAGAAGATGAAGAGGAAGACGAGATAAAGAAGAGAAGGATAATGTTAAGGAGAAGATAGATGAAAAGATAGATGAAGAGGAGGAAGAAAAGAGATGAAAAGTAGATAGAAAGGAAGAAAGAGAAGACAGAAAGAATGAGAAAGTGGAGAGAAAAGGAGGAGAAGATAGATGAAAAGAAGATAGAAGAGAAGGGGGGAAGAAGAAGAATGAAAAGGGGATGAGAAGATGAAAAACAGAAAGAGGAGGGAAAGAAAATAGACGAAAAGAAGATAGAAGAGGAGGAGAGGAAGAAGGAGAAGAGGAAGGAAAGAAAATAGATGAAAAGAAGATCGAGAAGGCGGAGAAGAGGATCGATGAGAAGGAGAAAGAGAAGGAAAAGATCAAGTTTGCAATTATTTGGTCCTCCACACAAGTCCTCTTAAAACACACCTTCACAAGTTGCAGATTTCACCTTCCCGCTTTTCTGTGAAGGGCATATTTTCAATTGAAAATATGAATGTATATTATAAATTAATGGGAATTCTTTGTTCTAATCTCCGCTTTTTCTCCTTGGAGACAGGCGATGTTATAATACTTTAAAGACTTACTGTTATTTGATAGATAATTATGAATTCAAGGAAATAAGGATTGTTACAAATGNAGAGAGAGAGAGAGAGAGAGAGAGAGAGAGAGAGAGAGAGAGAGAGAGAGAGAAACATATTGCATTTTTCTGTTAATGCCACCAAAATTGCATTGGCCTCGTTCGCAACTGCCTCACGCCACTGACTCCCAATTCCTGGAATTCAACATTCTTTTTGCCAGAATTCCTGCTAAGCCTGACATCTCCCATTTTTATTCCAGGATCTTTAATTCTGTTTGTGCAATTCTCTTTCTCCCCCCCTCCTCCTTCCGAGATCTCCCTGAAAACCTGTTCTGCAAACATGAGCCACGCTCCCCTCTTCAGGATTTTCTGACCACTTCCCAAGCATTTCGCCCACCAACACGTCAGCAAACACGTTGATGGGGATGGGAGTAAAAACAGATGCCGTTTGCACTTTTTTGCACTGAATTCCTGGAAGACTTAATTCTCCGTTCTTGGAAGGCATGGTTTTGAAACCTTTTCTCTTTATTTCACTTTCTTACTTTCTTGCTCTCCTCCAGCTGTTGGCGATCGGATTGTGAACAAAACATTAGAGAAGGGAAAAGCAGCAATTTTGAATGTTCTCCTCCTTCTCCTTTACCCCATCTCATTCTGTGTCTCTCTCTCTCCTTCTCTCTCCATCATTTTAAATGATGTTTCCGGTGAGAATTAGGTTTCACCCCCTCCACTAGTTCCCATTTGTGCTTGCCAAACAGCTGGAGTTCATCCAGTCTCCAAAAACGTTAGTGTCACGTTTTCGATTTCTTTTCCGTTTTTTAAAAAAATATTGTGAGTGGGTGAAAATAGAGAATTTAGCACAGTCATCTCTCAAATGAACTGCATTTGTCAGCGAGTGAAGTTCCTGTTTTGGATTTTCTCAGCCTCAAAACGACCCAGGCGTCATGTGGGAACACCAGTGTCCTACCTTAAAAGGTTGTCGTTAGCCTACCTTAAAGGGAGTGTTAAATTTTTGCACAGTGCCAAATGTCTCCACCCTCCTCGTAGAGCAAGCTGCCTTCCGATATTTTCTTTTGGAAGGAAATAAATTTTACACTTTTCCCGAATGGTCTTTTAGCACCCTAATTTCCAGGAATAACAACAACAACAACAACAAATTAAGATATTCAATTGAGAGAAATTGAGCAACGCTAATAGAAGATGTAGGGGGCTCAGTGGCTAAGACGCTGAGCTTATCGATCAGAAAAGGTCGGACGTTCAGTGGTTCAAATCCCTAGCGCCGCGTAACGGAGTGAGCTCCCGTGACTTGTCCCAGCTTCTGCCCACCTAGCAGTTCAAAAGCACGTTAAAAAATGCAAGTAGAAAAATAGGCACCACCTTTGGTGGGAAGGGAACAGCGTTCTGTGCGCCTTCGCCGTTGAGTCATGCCGGCCACATGACCACGGAGATGCCTTCAGACAGCGCTGGCTCTTTGGCTTTGAAAAGGAGATGAGCACTGCCCCCTAGAGTCGAGAACGACTAGCACATATGTGCGAGGGGAACCTTGACCTTTTAATAGAAGAGGTAAATCAGCGCTCATCACCTTCAAAAATCCAACTAAGCAAATTTGGGTTTAATGGGTCCCTTGCAAAATTGTTCCTTTTTCCAATTTCGACTCCAGACTAATCCATCTTTTAATCATCGTCTTAAAAAACTGGTATTAGCGCTATAAAATCTTGCCTCGCTGAGTCTCTTTTTAAATTCTGCTTGGACCAATCTGGTTTTACCGGACTCCCAAACCGCTTAATTTTTTATTTTTTTTTGTTTACAAAAAAGGATCATTTGAACGTATTGTTCATCCATCCGTAATAAAATAAATATTTCTAAAACAGAGAAGACTATTGCAAATATGCAGGTGCTCGCATAAAATCTGACATTTCACATTAAGTCAGAGTTGCAATCAAAAACAAGCTTGGCTGTTTAAATTAATCTTTTTTTTAAAATCGTATCGCGTAAAAACCAGCATGAAGAAATCGGTTGGTATCGCGGGAATGCATCCCTTAACATGTTGCGATACTTCTTTCTGGATATAAAGGAATAATTAGTGAAGCTTAGAGATAATCAAGTGAAGGATGATTTGATCGAGATGGGATTTGCCTTCTATGTTAGAGCTGGTATTTAAAGGTAGACTGCCTTTAATCATGGAGGTATCATCTAGGAATCAAGCATGAATAAATCATTATATTTATCTGATGTCTAAATAGCCACATAGGGAAGTGAGTTCATAATACCTACACTGTAGGTTAAAACCAATTTCAGTACTACAAATGTTAGCATTCATTTTTAATCTGTTTTAATCTGGGGAATTTTTAAAGCTAGGAATGAGCGTTAAACATTGAAAAAAAAATTCAAACCACAATGACATGGATACAACTCCTGCTTTAGCAACTAGCCAACAAAGCAGGAATAGTTTGGCACTAACGACCCAGACAAGAGAGCTTCAGAGCACGTGCAGAGTTCCTTCGGGCCCCTAGCGGGCAAAGAGCCATCCTTTCGAGCGATTTAAACCGGAGAATTTGATTTTTTTGGATTGATTTCATGGAGAAAGGAAGAGAAACTGAACTCACGGGGCAGGTCAATTGTGTTGCACTTTTAGCAACCGAATTGTGACACTTAATTTGTCGGTGTTTCTTACAAGCTGCCCGCTGCTTGGGTGCCCAAAGGAGGGTTCAAGGGGGAGGCATTTATTTGAGAAAATGAGATATACAGAAGCTTTGTGACTTCAACAAACACAGCATGGTAAAACCAACTGGTTGAACGTAATATTTTAGGCTTGAGCGTGTGTGTGTGTACTTTCACTCGAATTAGCTAAGAACATTCCTCAGTTTTTGGATCGCTGAATAATTATAAAAGAAACTGGAACTGATTTTTCTACCCAGAACAGAGCTGGGGGCTGGAGACCAGGACTTCAACTGGTGTCCCTCAACCATCATATCAACTGAGGTGTCTCAAACTTCTCAACTTTAAGCCGGGTGGACTTCAACTCCTAGAATCCCCCAGCCAGCATGTTGGCCATATGACGGGTTAGCACCGCTTTGTAAAGCCTTAGTAAGGCCACACCTGGAATACGGCATCCAGTTTTGGTCGCCACATTACAAAAAAGGACGTTGAGACTTTGGAAAAAGTACAGAGAAGAGCAACTGAGATGATTAAAGAGACTTTTAGTCGCCACGATGTAGAAAAGATGTGGAGACTCTAGAGAGAGTGCAAAGAAGAGCAACAAAGAGGATTAGGGGACTGGAGGCTAAAACATATAAAGAAGAATTGCAGGAACTGGGTATGTCTAGTTTAATGAAAAGAAGGACTAGGGGAGACAGGATAGCAGATTCCAATATTTCAGGGGCTGCACAAAGAAGAGGGAGTCAAGCTGTTATTTAAAGCACATGAGAGTAGAACAA